AAAAAATCGGTGCAACAAGAAAGATATTTCTTTTAAGGAATGATGGTTGATGAATGAAGAAAAGTCAGATTAGAGTGACAACATGTTAGCAGGTTGTTATGTATGGTGAATGTCAAATATTATAGAGAACCATAGATATGGATTAATTACTTCAAATATTTACCGAGGTAACACTGCAAATTTTTTAAAATGAGTTAAGGGAAATAAATGAATAAAGTTGTTGTTTATTTGGCAACATTTACCTGCAGATATGCTAAATATGCATCCACTATGTCTTCAAATGAACTACCCTTGTTGTCCATCCACCTATAGTTGAACAAAATAAGGTTAACAAATTCAAGACTTTGGAGTGTTAATTTTAAAAAGAATATGACCCAACTTGGCCTCTAAATTAGACTGGAGTTGCATTTTCTTATAATATCCATTTACCACAACTTCATTTTTCTATTAAATACTGCTTAATTAAAAAGACTGGGTAGGAAATTAACACATTGATAATGTCAAAATAACAGAGTATGGTTAAGACAATAACTCGGATAACTAAAACTCAACAAATAATAATGCATCAGGTTGCTACTTTTGCTGGCGCTTAAAGGAGGTGATTATAGGCGCTTTTGTGTGCCTGTAAAACTAAAGCCAATGCTTAAAAAGCGCTTGTATGGGGCTTGCAAATCATGTGTCGAGAAAGATTGCGGTGGGCGAAGGTGGGAGCACCTGAATGTAATCTAATTTGCAGGCGCTTTAGAAAGCACCTACGATTGTGTTATTTTCAAACATTGGACTTGCGCCCGAAATATACTTCTCTAGGGTTGGAAAATTATCCTAATTTTCAGGCACTTGACAAGAGTTTGAAATTGAGCTATGTAGGCACGCAAAGAAATGCCTAAAATCACTTTTTTTTTGCCCTGCATACTCTCTTTTCAGGCATTCTAAACTATTTAGTTTTGGATTCAAATATATTCATTCAAGACATGGCAATAGGTTAACAAACAAACAGCATGCAGAAAGTAAGACTCAAATGATAGA